GGGGGGGGGGGGGGGGCGGTCCGGGGGAAAAATGGGTGGCACTCGCGTTGAGAATGTTTGTCGCCTAGAGTCGCGGGGGTGGGGAGGAGGGTTCACCGCCGGATGACCAAATAGGCTAGCAAGTGCCCTCCTCAAACGCGGGGTACCCTGTTCTAGAGCCCCGCCTCCTCTCGCACGTGCGGATGGAGTTTGACTGTGTCCGGGGTAAAGCCGCGTCACGTCGTGTGCGGCGTGACGCGGTGGTCCTGCTCCCGTGAAATATCTGGCGTTTGCGGGGGCCGGAGGCTACCTCATGTTTCCGCTCCCTGCTTGGCGCTGGGGTTGGGAGTAAGGAGGCTACGGGTGCCTGCACGCCCGGGGAGCTGCCTATGAACTGGCTGCCTGTCTAAGGCGTCCCCCCCTGGGAGGAGCCACGTCGGGGCAATGAGACAGGGCTTGCTAGAGGCTCCGCTACGAGCGACCTCGGTTTTATCCAGCTAAACTTACGGCGCCCCGCGGCGGTGGGTCGGGGCAATGAAGTAGGGCGTGCAGGGGTTTCCCATATGGATGACCTCGGCCTTGCCCAACTGAGCTTACGACACTGCTGTGGGTCGGGCGGACGAAAGTTCATCCGGGACGGGTGGCTGGAACGGGAGCGGTGCACTTGGACACGGTGAATTTGGACACAGCCAATCACAGCACCGTATGATTAGAGACATTTGTAGGGTCCCTTGGAACAGCGACTTGTGATTGGACTGTGTCCAATTGCTCCGTGTCCAACTGATATACATCCGCTGGAACTCGGTAGCTTCGGACACGGCGGAGTCTGCAAAGTCCCCTGTCGGATACCGCACGGTCCCAGCCCAGGCATCTTGACGGGGGACAAAGACCACGAGGTGGTGTCTCGGCCGCGGAGACAGCCACCAGCACCCGCAATTGGGGAAAAGGGAGGAAGGGGTGTTATTGCCGGGTGTATATCAGTTGGATACGGGGTAATTGGACACAGTCCAATCACAAGTCGCTGTTCCAAGGGACCCTACAAATGTCTAATTACACGGTGCTGTGATTGGCTGTGTCCAAATGCACCGTGTCCAACTGCACCGCTCCCGTTATTGGCGTGTGTATATCAGTTGGACACGGGGCAATTGGACACAGTCCAATCACAAGTCGCTGTTCCAAGGGACCCTACAAATGTCTCTAATCACACGGTGCTGTGATTGGCTGTATCCAAATGTACCGTGTCCAAGTGCACCGCTCCCGTTACTGTCTGGGCGGTCTTCTGGGGTAAAGCGCACAGGGCGAAGGCACACGGGCACGGAGGCCGGAGGGTGGCCGATGGCTCAGGGTGGGTGTGTATGTGTGTGTGCTTCTGTATGACAACCTATCGTCACTCTACGCCTGGGGCATGTCCTGGGCTCAGGGGCGCGTAGGGGCTACCCGCTGGGTGAGCGTACTCTCTCAGAGGGGGAGAATAAGGCACAGGAGCCTCATCCTCTAGTATAGGTCCTTTCTGGGTGCCGGCTGGGTTGTCGGGTTCGCTGGGCTGCGGCGCCCGGGCGGGTACGCCCCCCGGTGCGTGCTGGGGCCCGGCGTGGCCGCTGCCTTGATCGGTGTCCCAGTGGGAAACCCCAACGCGAGAGGCCGGCCGCGTCGTTGTCCCGTAAGTCCGGGATGTGGTCCCGGCTGGGGGAGCGACAAAGCTGGTATTAAAGAGGGGCGGGTTGGTTGCGTGCGGGTGCGGTTTCGATCGTGCCTTCAAACAACCTCTCCCGCAACACCCGTGGGAAAGGGCACTGGAGTCACACTTCTCAGTGATTCATTCGGAGAGCGGGATATCCGGGTGCATGGTGGCTGGTGATATTCGGCAACGGGGGGCGCGCCGGTGATCCGTTATGGCAACGCCGGGGGTCCACGCCCCCTGATCCGTTAGGCTAAGGCCGCATTTAGGCCCCGATGCGATGAAGGTTACACCAAAGGGTGTTATCTGAGCTATCGATGAAACATACCGCTAGGCCGTAGTATACCGGCTGGGAGTGCCGGTGCCCGGGACCGCGGGTGGGAGAAGAGCGCAAAAGGCGTGCACTTCTTTTCCCCTCCGTGCCGCCACCTTATTGTGGTGGAGTGGTACCGACGATCCAATGAAGGCTCGGCGGCAATACCTTTTGGTTTCGGCCGGAAGGGAGACCCCTACCTGAGGATCGCTGGCGAACGGCGGCAACGGGGAAGGAAAACCCCCACAGAAAACCAGACCGCGGTGGGCTGCAGCCCCGCGGTTGCCAGAGGGGGTCGTAAAACCCTCCACTGCAGGGGAGCCCGGCAACTCCCACAGGGCCGATGGGCCCAATTATCGGTAGGAGTTGGCGGCCCTACAATCACCCGGCCTGCTGGGGCCGTTAGGTGGAGCTTGCTCCACCACCAGTCTTGGGGCGGGTTTGGGGTTGGGGGGACCTCCGCTCCGCGGCGGGTAATTTCCCGTCGCGGGGGAGGAGAAGGTCCCACACGAGTAGGCATTGCACGCCGGTCTGGCAGCTGAAAGTGTGGGATACCCTCGATCCGTCCCTACTCGGGCCTCGGACTGGGTAGGGTGGGAAGAGGAACTCACACCCGGGATTGCACGTCGGTAGCTTTCGACAACCCGGGGGGTGGAGGGGTGCGCGGGCCGCTTGGACATATTCCGAGGTTGGGGTCGCGCATCCTGGGATGGCCATCCCGTCGGAGTTACCCGGAGGATAACTCCGGGCCGGCGGGACGGGAGGTGGAGACGCAGGGACCGGTACATTGGCCCTCCCCACATTCAGTGGAGAGGTGCCGCACCCCGACAACCCTGCGACTCCTCCTGGTCACGGTCGCATTTCGCGGCGTGGCCAGTCGTGAGGGCCCCCCCGTGTGGGCAGCTGCGCACGGGGAGCATTAAAGGTCTGCCTGGTATTTGCCAGGACCTCTACAGCGCAGGTCCGACAACGTAGGACCTGTATACATCATAAACCTCTGGAGGTCATTATGTCATGTTTATGACGTACCTTTGGGGGAGCGAGGGCCTTGGCTTAAACGCCTGGGCCGCGAGGACGGGGACCTCTATAAGAACCCCCCCCAATCCTAAGCTTGGGAGCCGCGGCGATGGGATGAATGGCCGGCGGGTCAGCCGGTCATGAGCGGTCCACCCTGGGGCACCTGGCGCACCTCGGGTGTATTAAGCCCGAACCCAGGCGTGGGGCTCCGCCTGGGGGGTATTTAGTTCCTCCACTTTTCATGGCCCGCCCTGTAAGCCTACGGGTGATAAGGGGCGGGCAACCTAAGAATGGACTCTCTTACACAGAAAACTGGGGTTAGGGGGGGG